CCTGTACTCACTTCTCTCCTCTCCCCGTTCCCCTCCCCTCCCCTCCCCTCCCCTGCTAGCCCCAGCCCTGGGCCTGACCAACAGCCCTTGCCTCCCCTCTCTCTGCCCCACCCACACCCCCACCCGGCAGGAGCTGTCCCGGTTCCAGGAGCTGATATTCGAGGACTTTGCCAGGTTCATCCTGGTGGAGAACACATATGAGGAGGTGGTGTTGCAGACGGTCATGAAGGACATTCTGCAGGGTGCGTGCCTCCCGGCCCCCGGGGGCTGACTGCAGAGCTGGGGGGGGCGGTGCTGCTGTTGGGACCCTTACTGCCTGGAGGGTGGTGGAGGTGGCTGCCCCAAGGTCTTCCTGGTGGGGTCAGCTAAGCTACAAAGAAAAGAGGACTTAGGCCGTGGGCTGGGGTGGGCCCACTACTAGCAGTGTGGCCCCAGGAGGGTAGCATCGCATCCCTGTGCCTTAGTTTGTTTGTGGGTCCTTGACATTTTGGGGAGCATCTGAGTGACAGGGTGTAGGGTCACAGCCCCTGCTTCCTGGCATTGAGGCCTGAAATAAGCCTTGTCCCAGTCACAGCACCCACTTAGGCCGAGGGGGGCCTCTGGGGGCTGATGCAGGTCACAGCTGGGCAGTGTAGGGTGTGCTGGCGGCCGTCAGCCCCGCGGTAAATGTCCCGACACCGCCCTCTTGTCCTGTAGCTGTGAAGGAGGCCGCCGTGCAGAGGAAGCACAACCTGTACCGGGACAGCGTGGTCATGCACAACAGCGACCCCAACCTGCACCTGCTGGCCGAGGGCTTGCCCATCGACTGGGGCGAGGAGTGCAGTGGCAGCAGTGACAGTGGTGGGGGCCCCGGCAGCCCTGGGATCCCGGAAGCAGCCACCCTCTTGGAAAAGCGCCGGCGTGCCAAGCAGGTGGTGTCCGTGGTCCAGGACGAGGAGGTGGGGCTGCCCTTCGAGGCTGTCCCTGAGCCCCTATCACCTGCGTCCGCAGACAGCATCACCGAGCTCCGTGGTCTGCTGGCCCGGGATCTGCAGGCTGAGAGCCCCCCGCTGGCCGGCCCCCTGCTCAATGGGGCCCCCGCCCAGGAGAGCCCCCAGCCCGGGGCAGCCCCTGAGGCCGCCTCACCCCTCCGGCAGCTCCCGCCTGGAAAGGCCTCGGACCTCGAGCCTCCCAAGCCCAGTGACCAGGAGACCGGGGAGCAGGTGTCCGGCCCTGGCGGCCGCCCCCCAATCCATACCACCACCGAGGACGGTGCAGGGGTGCAGACTGAGTTCTAGGCCAGTCGCCCCCGAGCTTCTGTCGGACATGGCACACGGGCCAGCCCCTGCGGCTCTGGGCGGGGAGCGCTGGATCTATGCCTTCCAGGTGGGGATGGGGCCAGGCTGGTGTGGCACCTCTGGGGCGGGGACGGGCGCACCTGAGTCACTTTATTGGGTTTGGTCACACTTGGTCTGTTTTCTCTTATGTGGGATGATCTCGGCTTTCCTCCTCCTGCCGGGGGCAGAGCACAGCGGAGGGGGCTGGGAGCACGCGGTGGCCCTGGGTCCCTGAGTCCTGCGTCCCTGTCCTGCCTCTGTGGCCCGTTTCCCCCGTGGGTCTTGCCATCCTTGGGAAGAGGGCGGTAAGAGTAGCATCTGCTGTGACACAGAGCCCATGGATCCTCTGCTCTCACCAAGGGGCTCGCTGGAACCAGGAAGACGGAGCGCTGAGGCCCGTCTCGGCCCCGCTCCTCCCTCCTCCCGGCTGGGCCCCAGAGGCCAGTTTTGGAGTGGATACTGGCCTTGCTGTCCTGCCCCGGGTGAGGGGTTGTGCAAGGAGGGGACTTCAGGCTGGGGGAGAGCTGCCTCGCGGAGGGGGATGGGGCCGTGGGCCCGGGGAGAGAACAAGAAAGGCCTGGAACGGGCTGGTCTGGGGAGAGGAGGGAGAGGGCGTGTCTGAGGGAAGGAGGGCGTGACCTATGCAGAGGTACTGCTGGGAGGGTGGGCGCGGTGGCAGATGGAGGGCTGCTGGAAGCTGGGCCGTTGCCTCCCCCTCCACTTGCTGGGGTCCAGTCTCCGGAGTTCCTCTGTCCCCGTGCTGGGCTCGGGGGGTGGGGGGTGGTGGCATGTTGCTCAGTGGCAGGGCCGGGTGGGTGTGGACTCTGCAGGCCACTTCCAAGGTACGCGTTGTCCTCCCAGGGAGCTGCGGGGCTCGTGAGGGGCAGGGGGATGGGCCGAGGCACCCCAGGGCACCACTGAGCTCTTGGGTCAAGCTGGGGCTCGGCCCCTGCTTCTCTGAGTTTCCAGTCACCCCATCCTGAAAACTCCAGGACTCTTCAAATGTTCTCATGAGTCACGTGGGGGCCCAGCCATCCCCCTTCCTGGGGTGAGGGTCAAGCCGAGACCATCCCCAGGGACTGGGGCCTCCTGGCCTTCCCAGACCCCCTCCCCTGCTGCTTTGAGGGGAGGGTGGGCAGGGCAGAAACCGAGTCCTTCAGGGTCCTCAACGCCATCCCAGCCCTGCATCCTCCATCCCCTCGATCTCCTTCCTGGACTGGGCCCTGGGACCCACAGGACGTGAAGCACTGGCTGGTGCTCAGGGACCCCCCCCCCCCCCCCCCCCCCCCCCAGTCCCCCAAGCCCTAAACTCAACGCCTCACTAACCTCTTTTACCAACACGTTCCGTCTGAAGACGCTCTCCTCTGGTGCCTTCTTTTGTGGTTTTCCAATCATCCTCAAATCTTGTATTGAAAATATTATGCAAAATGTTTAAGCTTCTACTAATCAATAAATGCTTTATTTAAAGCCAGTGGCCCATGTGTGGTGCCAGCAGGGGGAGACCTTTGCTGGAGACTGACTAGGAGCATCTGTGTACCTTGACTTTCTGGGATAGCCGCTTGACCGAGTGCTTACAGGTGCATGGCCAGAGTTCTTCTATTATCCCATTTTAAAGAGGAGAAAACTGAGGCTTGGAGAGAAGGGACACAGCAGGTAGGTGACCAGCCTGCTGGCAGCTCAGACGGTTTCCTCAGCCAGATCCATGCAGGGTGCACCTCTGGCAGTCTTGGGTAATGGTGAGGGCAGGAGGGCAGCTACTTTATGGCCACGTGGCCCTGGGGTGCCCATGACGGGTGGGCCCGAGGCTCACACTAGATCCAAACAAACAGTGATGCCAGTGTTTAAGACTCCTGCTCACACAGCTAGTACTTACTGTGGGCCGTGCACGTTACTTGCAAGACTAGGAGCCTCACAGCAGCTCCAGGCGGCGGGCACCATTGTCACATTTCACCGATGTGTAAACTGAGGTCCAGGAAGGCGGGGAACCTGGGCTGAGGCTATGGGGCCCCCATCACCTTGGGGGACGGTGGCCAGTGGCTGAAGGCTTGTTAAGGGCTGAGGTGAGGAAGCAGGGGCTCAGCTGCAGTCTTGCTGTTGACCTTGGCAAGGCACTGAACTCAGCCTCAGGCTCCTCGTCTATCTATAAAAGGGGGGGGCTATTGAGGGTTCAAGGAGACCCGCCAAACACTGTGCTCTGCGAGGTGGCCCTGCCCACCTCAGGCCTCAGTCTCCCCTCTTAGCTAAGCAGAGCCCAGCAGGGTGTGTGGGGAGGGAAACCATCAGAGGTCCCCCGGGTACCTGGAAAGCAGGACTCACACCACATGGGCCCTTCATCCGTCCTGTTTCAGCCCGCAGGACTGTCACAACAAGGCAGGGAGAGTGAGGGCCTGTCCCCTGCATCCCGCCGGCTCTTACGCTGTGCCTGCGATGAGCAGTCAGGGCTCCCTGGTGGCCGCCGGCCTACGTCAGGGCTCCATCGTGTCCCTTGCTGACCAGATGGGGAACGAGGATGTGGAATGTTGGCCAGAGTCAGAGTTAGTTAGCTGGAGGCAGAGCCCAGGTGCCCCGAGCAGGCCTGCCTCCAGCCCAAAGGAAAAGCTGCCCCAGCTCAAAACCATCTGCCAGAAGGTGCACGATAAAGGCGCCTCTACAGCGAGTACCAGGAGCACGGCTCCTCCCGCAGTTGTGCAGTGAACAACCTGCGTGGCTGCATGGCTTCAGGGGTCAAGATGCCTCTAGGCTCCAGAGCCAGCGCCACCACATTCCTGTCGCAGGGCCCGGGACATCCAGCCCCCAGGTCTGGGTTAACGATAACAGAGCACATAGCACAGCCCACACGGCACCACAAGCTCCGCAGACTTTCTGAGCCCTTCTCTTAGAGCCCTGGTCTCTCTACCTGCAACAAGGGAGGTTTGGATAACTTCACCTTTGGGAACACCGCACCTTCCCGCTTCCCTTCTGACTCAGCTGCGACCCCCTCCCCCTCCCCGGGCTCCATCAGGACCTAGTGATGACTCTGGAGGAGCAGGCTGGAGATGGGTTTATTGACGTTACTGCTTTGGGTCTGCAAAGCTCAGTACCTGCCCTGGAGCTGCGTGGGTGAGGAGGTGCAGATCTGGAGAGAGGAGGGGCCCAGCGTGCGGGGAGCAGCAGAGGGAGGCGAGGAGGCGCCGACGTCGCTGCGGCACCAGGCCCGCCCTGAACACATTCTGGCCAGTCAGTCCGAGGACACGGTGGCCTCCCCACCTCTCCCCTCGGCCAGGGCCCTCCTGCACTCCCACCACCCTGCCCCGTGGGACAGCACTGCCCAGGCTCCCCTGCTGAGGCTCCTGGGTGGGGGGGGCGTGACTGCCAGAGGCAGCTGAGACACTCAGGCCTGCGCTCAGATGGAGGCACGCTGGCACCCCACACCCTGTCCTCGTGCGGCGAGGGGTCCTCTCTGCTCCTCCACAGTATTCACGCTGGCTCTGTCCTTGGTCAGGAACACTCCTGTCTCCGCCTGGGCCAGGACAGAGGGGCCCGTACTAGTCCATGGAGAACAGCGCGGGAGCTGGAGCCCTGGGCCCACAGGTGGCAGAGGCGGGGCTGGAGGTGTCAGGCCCGGGCCGGCGGCCGGCGCTCAGCGGCTGTGGTAGATGCGGAGGCGCTGGGCGATGTCCTGGCGGCACAGCGGGCAAGTACGCAGCGGCTGGCAGCACTGCTGGCAGCAGCAGACGTGGCCGCAGTTGAGGAAGATCATCTGGGCCTGAGGAGAGAGTGCGGGAGCGTCTGGGAACCAGCCCGGCCTGATTCCCCGGGGATGGGGCAAGTGAGGCCCCCAGAGATCTGACAGCACGGTCGTCACGCTCCACCGCCCGTCTTGGTCACTGTCTGCCCCTCTCTGTAACAGCCGTGCACGTTTGACAGCCCCACCCTATCTCACCAGCCTGGCTGTCGGATGTGCGTTGTTCCCAATTTTTGGTTTTTCTATGCAGTTTGCCCAGCCCCTCGGTCTCAAAACCACCCCAGCATTATGGATTAAAAGCCATGGAAGTGTGTCTATTCTTTGCTTTAGCATTTCCTCTTTTTAGTAAGTTATCCTAAGTAAATAACCAAGGATGTGCTCCAAATTCTGTTCAAGGCTGTTCAGTATAGCACTGTTTGTAATAACAAGAGCTAGGAAGCCACCTCCAGGGCCCAGAGCAGGGGTTTGGTTAAATTTATAACCACCAAGGCCCCCTGTATCACCGCATTCCCTGAGCCCAGCAAAAACCACAGGGTAGGGCTTCCCTGGTGGCGCAGTGGTTGAGAGTCCGCCTGCCTATGCAGGGGATATGGGTTCGTGCCCCGGTCCGGGAAGATCCCACGTGCCACGGAGCGGTTGGGCCCGTGAGCCATGGCTGCTGGGCCTGCGTGTCCGGAGCCTGTGCTCCGCAACGGGAGAGGCCACAGCAGGGAGAGGCCCGCGTACCGCAAAACAAACAAACAAAAAACCCATAGGGTAATCAAACTGCTAACGTGGCAACCTTTCCTAAGCAGGATCACACTCTGGGGGGAGGGGGAGTATTTTACGTGCTACATGGCTGAATTTTTATAATAGGCGTCAATTTTGTTACAGTTTTTAAAACAGGTTTTAAAAAGTCTCTTCAGAGAAAATTGTGTTGTTGATATTTAATGACTTAATACATATACGAAGGGAAACTTCCTAAGTGGGAGAAAAAACTCTTGAAAAAAAGAAAAAAAGGCCCAGAAAATGATGTTAGCATTACTCATGTTTGGGTAATGGGATCATGGGTCATTTTAATTTCCTGTTTTTTGCCCGGGAGGCTCCGGACGGCAGGCACTGGGCCTGCTGCCCCAGACTTACCTCCCGTTCCAGGCACACAACACATTCTGAGGTCTGGGCCTCCAGCTCCGCGCAGGGGGCTGATGGTCTTACTGCCTCGGGAAGCTCCTCAGGGGCCGTGGGGAGGACCTCGCCTTGGGGTGGTTTCGGCAGCTCTGTGGGGACAGAGACGCTGAGGCAGGGTCACGCCCACCCGACCCCGATCCCTGGGGCCTCCCCTGGCCCCGTCTGCCCCAAGTGGCAGGCAGCTGGAGCGGGATGGGATCCGACCAGGACCCTGCCTTCCTACACACCCTCTTATTTCTCTTTGCTGAGCCTCATTCCCCCACCTGTAAAACGGGACAGCTGGGGCACCGGTTAATTGGGGCCTCTTACCCCTAACACACTCTGAATCCTTCACAGCCACCCTGCAGGTAGGGCTCATCACTGTCAGAGATGAGAAATCGGAGGCTCAGAGGGGGAAACCACTTGCCCGAGGCCACAGGGCCATCTGGTGGTAGAGCTGCCCCGCAGCAGCCCTGGCTAGGACCGGACCTTGCTCGCAGATTCTCCACCCAGGGGCCCAGGCGCAGGTGGCCCAGAGGGGCAGGGAGAGGAGTGAGCAGCTCTCAAGGCTGCTCCCCCTGTCCCCTGGCAGAGGCCCCAGCATGTCCCCTGCCTGGGTCCCAACCGCCGCGAATGAGGACATCAGAATCGGTCTCTCTCATTATCACACCACGTGCACCAGCGACACCCCCAAGTCTCTCTCCATCCCTGATCCTCATCCCCTCAGTTCATGTTTTTCATTTATTCTACGGGTTAAATTACAAGTAGTATTTTTTATAATTGTATTTTTTATAATTGTAAAAAAACTGAAGTTTTTTTTTTAAAAAGCCTATCACAACCACTCTAGACCCTCTAGGGGTATCATGGTGTCCCCCCCAAACCATTACTGTAAGGGGGCACTTCTATATTTAATAATAACACATATTGAGTCCTGGGATCAGAAAGAGAACTGTTGGGAAAACTCCTGAGGCTCTCCTGCCTTCTGGATCTCAGAAGCCTTCCAGCCCAGCCCCTCCCTGCAGGGCGGCCACAATCAGGAAGAAGCCCTAAGGGTTAGAGTTAGGGTTAACCTGTCTCTGCCTCAGTTTCCTCATCCCTCAGATGCGGGTAACAATGGTGCCCACCTCACGGGGCTGCAGCAAAGGTGACCTGACATGGTGGTCGTCAAATGCCTGATACCCATCCTGCTCGGCACACAGGAGACCTTCCCCTGGGTCAGCCACAGCACCTGCCCTCTCCCGGGCCTCCGGATGAGGACAGGGCACCTCCTTCACAACCATCACAAACACCTTTCTACGTCCAAACCACAGGCCTGTCCTGGGGCGCAGTGCTGGGCACGGGGTGGGCGCTGGGTCTGGCTGATTTCTCCCTCTACTCCAGGGATCCTGAGTGTGTGGTTCC